TGAGGGCCCCCCCCCTCCCCCCGAGTGCACAAATTTTTGTGCACCGGGCCTCTAGTTTATTTATAAAATCACAGAGATAGAAGTAATATTTGTAGAAGAAATGAGCTGAGGAAATGAGTTATAGAGGTAAATAAAGGAAGGGCTCTTAGAGCTTGGGAGTGAGGAAGCAAATGGTAAGGTGCTTGGGTGAGGGGGAAGGGAAAGGTGCAGGCATGCTCCTGGGAGGGAGAGTGCTCTGGGTCCTCTATCTTAAGAATTGTTAAGGTTGGTGATTTTAGAGGTGGTCCCAGGGGAAGATTTCAATGGATATTTAGCACTTTTCCAGGTTGCTCTTTCAGGGTTGGGGTCTTCCACTGATAGATTGGTCGGTGACAGGGCAGGAGTCATTACCCAGTGCAGCTGGTCCTGAGATTAGCTTGTCTGGTTTTGCTGCTTTTCTGGGCTTGGAGCTGAAATACAACTGAAGCCTCAATATTTTCTAGGGAGGAAAGGTCAGTGTGTCCAAACTGCATGACCATTGATATGCTAAGGGAGGAAAGGTCCTCTGGGGGTAAGGTCCCACCCTACAATTGTCCTTTGCACCTGGGGCTTCCCTTCCTGGTGACCTTCTGTACCAGGCCCATTGTCCTTGCTCTGCTCAAGTCTCTCGAACTGCCTACCACAATTCCAAGGAGTTTAGTTCTTTTAAATACAGTTTTCAGATAGCTGTATCTTTTAAATGAAAGTGTTAATATAAGAAACATTCAAACCTGTGAAGAATTTTTGTGAGTTTATTTGAGCCAAACTGTCAACAAATGCTGGGAAGCAGAATCTCAATGGATTGAGTTAATGCTCAGGAGAATGGCAGTTTTGCACCTTATTTTATACATTACAATAAAGGAGGTGATTGATGTAAGTGGGTTATTGTGAAATCCATTGGTGATAGATTAGGGAGGCAGGAGAAAGCAAAGCAGGGAAACCTCTAGGATTGGATAAAGAGTAAAATGATAGACACACACTTAGATGGGTGCAGGATAGTTAACAGTCAACAATTAACATGATAATGATAACAATGATAATGAAGGTATTTGTGGTCTCACCTCTGTACTTTGAGGGCTCTGAAAAAGGAAAATTACTTTGTTTTTGCAAAGGCATAGTATCCTAGACGCCAAAAGACAAATGGACAGGCTTAGTTAAGGTGAAGATTAACCTTTGTTAAGGAAAAATACTGCCTTAAGACATGACTACACACCATAAATTGCTTTCATTTTTTAAAAGTGTTAATTTTAGACCATGCTTTGTAGTTACTTTAGGTCTCTGAGTTTGCAAGGCCATCACGCAGGCCTTCCCTGAGCTAGTCATGTTAGCATGTGGCCCCTTTTTGTCCACAAAAGTATTATGTAATTGGAAATTTTTAAAACATGGTATGAAAAAATTTCTAACATTGGGGCAAAATTGCTCACAGTTTTGGTTCGTATGATCTGATACATTATTTGTTGTGCTTTGTCGTGAATTCTAAATTGCCATTGATATGGTACTTCACAAGGTAACTAGGTTTTTACAGTATTTTCTTGCTTTAGAGCATGTATTATATTAAATAATGAAATATTCTTATGATGAAATGACTTGTGTATGATTTTGTGTCAATATTTAAAACATCTTTATATTTGCATATCTCATTTTCAGGTACACGAGTGGATGATGCTAAGGCACTGATAACTGACAGTGGACTTAAAATTCTTGCTTGTGATGACTTGGATGAAGCTGCTAAAATGGTAAACAGGCTATGTTTGCAAAGTGTATAAAGGATGTATACATGTTCCCGATTGGGGTTATTGGCTGGTTCCTGGATTCTTCTCATTGACAATGAAAAGATTTTAAGGTCAACAAAAATGAAAGTAAAGCAAAGTGGGGTTTATTGAAGATACATTCCAAGCGAGGAGCAGGCCATCCATCCAGGAGAGATAATAGCCCCGAACTCCTGGGTTTAAATGAGGGATTTTCTGGGTGGAGACTCATTTGCATTCAGGGATGATTGACAGAAACGGGTTATATAACTATATTTCTTCTGCACATGCCCTTACCCATAATGCATACAGAAACCCCCCGGGGGGGTTGTCAAAAACCACAATGCAAATTTTATTATAATTATCCAGGGCCCTGGTAAGGTTGCATTGGCATTGAAGTCATGTTGTTTTCCTCTGATCTTGGGCCAAGAACTGGCTGGTTCTGAACCTGCCCACTGGTGGACTGCTGGCTGGGTTCATCCATAGAGAGGAGGTCTGAAGGCAGTGTTGGCCCGTCCCTGTTCAGAACCCCAAGGCAGGCCTCACCCCAGCCACTTGTGTCTAACTTCCTACCTAATGTAAACATTTAGATTCTCAAACAAACCAGCTAATATCACTAAAAATGTGTTTCAGATAAATAGTAGTATTTACTTTCTATCACTTAGTGATAGAAAGTAAAGTACTATCTCTTAGACCCAAACTCCTATCCCAATATTGTAAGTTGAAATTTTGTATTTAAAAAACAAACTTATTTAGATGTGGTTTTCATTTATTTAGATGTGATTATACCTATCACCCATCTTAATTATCACCAATATTATTTCATTTGTATTGTTACCTACTTCCTTCCTTGCCCATGATTATTTTGAAGCAAACCCCAGACATTATTATATCATTTCATACATGTCATCATGTATCTATAAAAGACAAAAGTAATGATACTATTGATAATGATATAAAGAAATTATTTGTTTCAGGTGGGATAGTAATATTATGTTTCTATTTTATAAAAAAGAATATAGTCAGTGTTGACATTTTTGGGATTCTCTGAAATATATATATATTTTTTTTAATATATTTTATTAATTTATTACAGAGAGGAAGGGAGAGGGATAGAGAGTTAGAAACATCGATGAGAGAGAAACATCGATCAGCTGCTTGCACACCTCCTCCTACTGGGGATGTGCCCGCAACTAAGGTACATGCCGTTGACCGGAATCGAACCTGGGACCCTTCAGTCCGCAAGCCGACACTCTATCCACCGGTTAGGGCTGAAATATATTTTGTCTAGGTTCTTCATTAGTATTAGGATCACAGTAATTCTATGCATTGCAGTTGGTTAATATGTTACTAAGTTTCTGTTAACCTATAGGTTCACTTTTGTTTATTTTCCTGGAGTTTATTTTTGAAAAGACAAGTTGATGATCTTACAGTGTTTCCCGTAGTCACAATATTAATTATTCTAATCCCTGGGGTGTCCTCTACCCCTATATTTCCTGTAAACTGGTAGTGTTGGTCTGTAGGCTTGACCATATATGTATTTGATTTGGGGGAGCAGGGAGCAAGTTGGCTCCTGAGTCTTTCTCACATGCCCTGTGATATACATTCTGGTTTGATAAGATGTCCTAGGCTCATCTTTACATTTTTTGCTTAAGATCTGAAATCAGCAAAATGGTTTTTAGAGATCACAAGGGTACTCACAGATACAGGGTTGTTCGTTGTTTCCAGGCTTTTAAAATGGTAAATCTAGGAAAATATGTATTTTTTAAAGAGATAAATACATGAGTACATACTGATATTTCCAGTGCAAATCCAGTAGTACAGGTCTTTTCTTATCTCTCCCATGTCATATTGACATACATATAAATATTTATTTACTTTGTCCCTCAAAATAGACATAATTGTACAGTAATAATACCAACAATATGATTACTGAAAGCAATTTAAGATTTGTATGTGCAGTTCTTTCTGTCCTTTGAAGTATTTTTCATAACTTACTGGATTTTAAAATTCATGTAAAATAGCTCTGTTTTATCCCAGCTTGGTATATAATTAGTATCATTTAATTTTTTTAAGAAATTGCTCTTAAAAAAAAACCAATTTTTGTTTTGTATTATATAAGTATTTACATGGTTCCAAAGTCATAACTATAAAACAAAGTATATTCAGAGAATCTAACTTTTATACCTGTATCTGTTTCTTCCCCATAGGTAACCAGCTTTAATAAAAAAAGAAAAGAATTTTAGTTCATTTTTTAAGCAAATTGTGTGTGTATAACACATATGTATGTGTGTATGCACACACATATATCTGTCCACTTTCCCTCATTATCTGATTATTACGTATATTTTACCTCATTTATTTTACTTAACATTATATTTTAGTGCACAGTCCATAGTAGATATAGAGATGTTCCTAAATGAGAACTTTCCCACCTATATTTAAAGACAATTCGTGGAAGAGCTGTATGGTTTAATCAGTAATAGGCTTTTGAGATTTGCTGCGTTAATATAATATCATTTCATAAGAATAATAAAGTGTTCTGTTTTTCTTTGGGACATACTCTAGGAAAGTACCTATTAGTAAATGAAATTCAACTGCAGTTTAGAGACAGAGGGTCTTATACTCAATCCCGAGTTTAAATTAAGATTTTGAGCATGGGAATGGCAGGGAGAAAGCCTATTTTGACTTTGAGATGTGGTATAAACTGTTGAATGGAAAAGTGAAGGATAGGAAGAGTCTGTCTAGGGCAATAATTAGATGTGATGTGAGGTGAAGGTTATGGATAGGTTATAACTTGTCTCTGAAAATATGCTTGTTTTCAGTGAGAGCCTGAATTAAGAAAAGCTTTGTGGACATGGAAAGAAAGGAGAAGACTCAGATAGACCATGAAAGATAAAACAGTTGGTTTAGTTTGTGACTGCTATGTTTTCTACTGACTAAGAGATTATGGAAGTCATGACAATATTAATAATAATGTAATGATATTAGCAGCTGCTACCATTTATCAAGTATTTATTGTGCTTGCAATGCTAAGTTTTTTTCTTCAAATATTATCTTATTTAATATGAGTTTGGTGATATAATCTCATTTTTATAGATGAGGGAACAGAGGCTAGATAAATTAATATATTCAGGATCATAAGCATTAGAGATGGAATTTGAAACCAAAGTGGCTAACTAAAACCTCTTGTCTACTCTATAGGAGAGGAGAGAAGCTGAATTTATTATTTGGTTTTAGACATTAATTGTCTATTTTGTATGGTACCAACAATAAAATACTAACTTCTAGAACCAAATTCCTATCCAATATTGTTAAGATTGTATACTTTAGAAAAAAAAAAGGCAAACTTATTTATATGTGATTTGCATTGTGTAGTACTTAAGATACTGTTTTTGTATTTAGGCAATAAAAGCAGGTATATACATATATTCAATACTTTCTAATTTTATAGATATTATTGAAAGTATTGAAGTGTGGGTTATTAAGAGTGTTAGATTTGAATGGCAAATGCTTATAAGAGTGTGAAGTGATTGATGTCAGAATAGCTCACATTTCAAATGAAAAAGATTGAATGTGCATCAATTTCACATTGACCAATAGTTCTTATTTTTATGTTTTAGTGAAAATAGAGACAAAGATGGTTGTTGTTTTTTTTTCTTTCAGGTTGTAAAGCTCTCTGAAATAGTGAACTTAGCCAAACAAGCCCAGGTGGATGTGAAATTTCAGTTGCCGATCTGATCTGAGAATCCAGTAGATGGCTGAAGGTTTTAAATGTGCTATAATCATTAAAAATACTGTGTTCTGTGTTATTATTGTTCCTTTTCTCATTCATGTGTGAAGACTATAATTGCCATCTAGGCATAAAAACTTTTAAAAGCATTTGTTCTGCATTTAATTCTATTGAGAATGGGCTGTTTGTATAAAGAATGTGTAATGCAGTTATCTAGTTTCTTTTGTTGCAGCCTCCTTTTTCACTTCTACAGGATGCCATTTACGCGAACTCATTTTTTTTGGTTGATTTTTCTTTGTTAAATGGCATTTAAATATATAAAATAAATATCAAAAATATAAATCTTTGTTTTACTATGGTTGCAAATATCAAAAAATTTCTATATGTGACACGGCACCAGAGTTAAGTTAGGGTTTTTCAAAATGCTGACATGCCGAGCTCAAAAGGTTCGCCATCACTGTATTAAAACAGTGTTTTATATAAGAAGTGTTTATCTTCAACACCAAATACCTAACTAAGTATATCAATCACTATTTATAAACAGAGCTTTCAAACACTCCTCAGAATATTCTTTTAAATATATCAGTGAAGTAACTTAATTATTTGAACATTATCTTAATTGTTACAAAACACTGATAACTGCAAGTCTTCATGATCCCGTGGTTTTGAGAAGAACCTGTAGGCTTTCACCAAATAAAGGCATATATACTAAGGACTTGTCATACTAAATTAACAATGTCAATTTAAGTTAATAAAAATCTGGATAATGTTAATAAATAATGGATTAATGTTTTCTTTTTTTAAGTAAGCACAGTAGAAGGAAGGTGTTGTGTTTATTACTGCACCAAACACCTCTAGGAACTGATTTGTAGATCATGTACTGAGGCAGGACATTACCTTACATATTATTAAGCTGCCTGTGGATATTTCACTTGAATTCTGTTTATGTGTGCCATCTCATACCTTCTCCAAAGATAACACTTTGTGTCTCTATGTGTGTGTATATAATCTTTTTTCACTGCATAGAACAGTGATAACTATTAATAGTGTTAATACTATGTGATATTAACAGTATATATACCATGGAAGGAAATATCAGCCAAGCAGAAGACTATGAATGTAGTAGTGATGAATTTGAGAACTTCTGTTTATTTGGATGGTCATAAAGTGTGATCAGATATACATACTGTGAGAGGTATCATACATAGCATAGTGATTATGAGCACAGAATTTGAAAGTCGACCATCTGGCTTGAATCTTGGCTCCACTGCTTACTAGCTATATGAGTTTGAGCAAGTTTCTAAATTTCAGTGTACCTCTGTTTCCTTAGCTCCTTTCTCATTCTCTGGAATTATTTAATGGGGGAGAGGGGAGAGAAAATTATTCAAGAGAACATATAAAATATATACTCAAACCATCTACACGAATATCATTATCTGTCCAAGTTGATCATGTATTTACCTACCTACCTATCTTCCCTACCATATTAAAGACTAAATGGAACCACTGAACTGTTTGAAATTGTGATAAAGGTATAATTAAAAGTCTAAGCCTTTAGCTTTTAATTTAAAATTTTCTTTTTTAAAAAATTCATTCCAAGAAATGCCAGACAATGAATGATTAGTTCAGAAAAGATTGGCGTTTGTATTAGTCGGGATCTAGTCAGGCATTAAAAACAATGCTTGGTATTTCGGAGAGGATATAATACATGCTGTTGGTGATATTAGTGTTTTAGTTATCTATTCTTGCATAATACAGTCATGGGTTGCTTAATGACAGGATACATTCTGAGAAATGTGTCCTTGGGGGATTTTGTCGTGCCACCATCAGAGTGCGCTTACACCCACCTACACCTACCATGGTACAGCCTATTGCTCCTATGCTACCAACCTGTACAACATATTGGTGTTGAATACTGTGGGCAATTGTAACACAATGGCCACTATTTGTGTATCTAAACATAGAAAAGGTACAGTAAAAGTATGGTATAAAGATTAAAAACTTATACACCTGTATAGGGCACTTACCGTGAATGGAGCTTGCAGGACTGGAAGTTGCTCTGGGTGATTGGTGAATGAATGTGAAGGCCTAGGACATCACTGTACACTTAGGCTATGCTCAATTTGTAAAATAGCATGAGGACTCTTGGACTTAACCATACTCCAGCCATGTCAAACTCGCAGCCCACGGGCCGCATGTGGCCGACAACAAGTATTTTTGCGGCCTAGCCAATATAACGGTATGTAAGAAACGTTTTAATAAAAATTTCGTAATTTAATTTTTACAATACCTGTTAACACATAATTATTAATAACGAACTACAATGACTGATTACTATAATCGCATTGCATTCATTTCTCTTACGCGTCTTATGTGCAGGCGCACCATTTCTATCCACTAATACTAGCAGCGAATACTTTAGCACCGATTGCCACGTCAGTCTTGTACTGACTCGTTTGGTGTGCACGACAGGAAATATTTCGCTTTCGGAAAACAAGAAAAATAGGTTTATTTGTGTTACACTTATTAATACGTGGAGTTATTCAGTGTCTGGGAAGTTAATGTTCAAGAAAAAGTATTTTTATTAAAATGTTCTATTTTATGTTAATGATTACTCATTTATTTCAGCCCTTTGTATTCAGCATGTCTTTATCGAAATAAACCTACGTTTCTATGGAAATTGAAACTTTTGTTTTGTTGCGGCCCACATAAACTTAACCCTTGTTTATTGGGCCCGTGTTAGCCTTTGAGTTTGACATGCTTGCTATACTCTATCTATGGTAGGCAAAATAAGGCTCCTTCACGGAGGTCCACACCCTAATCCCTGGAACCTGTGCATGTGTTATATTACATGGCAAAGGGACTTTGCAGATGTGATTAAAGCTGTGGACCTTAAAATGGAATTATCTTGTATTATCCCCGTAGGCCTGTGTTCGTCTCTGGGCTTCTGTACCAAAACACCATAGACAACAGAAATTTGTTTCTCACAGTTCTGAAGGCTCAGAAATCTAAGATCAAGGCACCAGCAATTCAGTGTCTAGTAAGAGCCTACTTCCTGGTTCATAGACAATGCCTTCTTACTGTCCTCATGTGGTAGAAGGGGCGAGGGAGCTCTCTGGAGTCGCTTAGAAAGAGCACGAATCCTAATCACGAGGGTTCCACTCATGATCTATCAGCTCCCAAAAGCCCCACCTCCAAATACTATCACGTTGGGCATTGGGTTTCAACATAAGAATTGTGTGTGGTGACGGGGGGGGGGGGGGGGGGTGTTGTACAAATATTAAGTCCATAGCAAGACCCCGTCTAATCACATAAGCCCTTAAAAGAAAAGAACGGTCTCCAGCTGGAGGCAAGAAAGATGCTGCGGAAGGGGGTAGTTGAGAAATTCCAAGCATGAGAATTCAGTGCACCCTTGTGCTGCTGAGATGTGGGAATACATGTGTTAAGACTAGAGAGAAACATTTAGCTGAGGGTGGCTCTTAGCTGACAGCCAGCCAGGAAGGGGAATCTTAGTCCTACCGGCTAAAGGACTGGATTTTGCTAATATTGGCATGCATTTGTAGCCGATTTCTTTCCAAAGCCTCCTGATCATAGCTGGCTAACACCTTGATTTTGGTTTTGTGGGGCTCTGAGCAGAGAAACCAGATAAGCTTAATGGGACTTCTGATCTCCAGAAGTGTGAGATTAGTAAATTTGTGTTGTTTCTAAATGCTAAATCAGTGGTAATTTGTTACGGCAGCAATGGGAAACTTAATACACTAACACATCCATACCCCTGTATGTTAGTTATAGAAGAGTTATAGAAGCCAACTCTCAAACCCAGGTGAAGGGCCATTTTACAGACTTAGAGATTTTAAAACTTCTAATCTGTCAGGGACTGATTCTTTTTTTGGGGGGGGGGGGGACTGATTCTTTTATAGCATGCAATAAAAACAATTACTAGAAAAACGAAACTTTAAAACAGGAAATATAAGGCCTAATTCTTTTATTTAACAATACAAAATTGCTCTTTCAAATTTCTATAAAAGTTTCTAAGTGCTTTCTCTTAAATACCTACTTATTGTCTTGAAAGTTTGCAAACTGGATTGGCATTGGTCCACAGATCACATTTTGAGTAGGACTATGAATAGCTTCATCACACAGTTTGTGAGGATGTAAACACACAAATTGGAAGTAGGATGTAAACATCTAGGGTTGAGAGGCTCAGCACTGAGTAGTTTCTAGTTCACATTATGGTACTCATAGCTTTGTAAATTTATGAAGCAATTGCCACTAAAAAGGCATGTGGTGAAGGCCTGGGGGAGGGCTAGAATGGGTCAATGGGGGGAAAATGGGGGACATGTAATACTTTCAACAATAAAGGTTAAATTAAAAAGCTATGTGACTGCTGCATGTTCCATTGTCTAGATAATGATAATACAGAAATCAGTTCAGCAAGTTGGAGGAGGCATTGAAAGGGCAGGGTGGCTTGAGATTCATGTCTGGTTTGTGTGTTGCTAATTGAACACTAACATCATCAGCATGTCTCTGGTAGGTTGGACTGACCACCAGTTGAGACCTTGCAGTCACGCAGTTCAGAGTGACAGTATCAAAGAATGCTCCCGGGGTGCTGAGCACGTGGAGGTGCTGAGATGGTGTCCAACGGGAGAGGGCATGGAACTTCTGTGCCCCCTGGCCTCTGCCCACTTCCACATGGCTGTTGCTGAGTTGCATCCTTTATCATGAACTTGAAAGAAACTTACAGACTTTTCCTGCTAAGACGTCAATTTGTGTCTTAGAAAAGCAGAAATACTGTGAAAGATTGAAATAACCTAAATCATCCAAAACTAAGGCATACATAATGAAACAACTTCTAGTATTTACATAGAAAAAGGACATGTACTTGTAGACATTAGAATATCAGGATTTGAAGCAATTAAGAATGTCTCTGCCAAGTAGACAAATAGCTATTACTAACCCTCCACCACCAGAGTATATAAATGCTAAGAAAAATGGGAGATTGACAAATCAACTACAGTATCTACAAAAAGTTGTCTTCAAGGCTTTATGGAAGCATAGTTTTTCCTGGCCTTTTCAGAGTGACAGTATCAAGATGATGGGATGGTTATGTTTCATAAGAAGAAAACTAGAGACAAATCTTTTATAGTTA